CTGCAACCTAAAGGATGAACCAGTTCTGTGTCTACACATAACAGACAGCTTAGCAAAGAATCAAATTCAATTGGTATCTTTGGGCACTTTATTAGCATCCTGTCACAAAATAATTTGTTCAAATTTCTTTAGTTGATTCTATGAAAAATGTCAAAGATAAAACAGTTTGACAGGTGCAAAATGGTATTTTTGCAAAATGATTACAAAGAGCTGTTAGGTGTAAACTTTGTATATCTCAGCGTGATGTGCAACGTGTCCTTAAAAAACTGGGGAAACTGGAGATGTGGCACGCAGAAGAAGAAGTGTCAGGCCTAAAAAAGCAGATGACGGTTTCTGAAAGTCATGTCCTTAAGAACGACGGAAAAATCCAGTAAAGACCTGACGCTGGACCCGAGAGAAGCTTCTGGCTCTTCAGCTGATCCATCTACTGTTCACTGAAGCTTCACTGAAACACACTGCCAGCGCAGTAAAAGCATACCTGCACAGTGGAACACTATCAGTCACAAATTAGCATCCCTGGAGCCCTGACTGCAACATTATTGCAGCAGTGTGGGATCATCTTGACAGAGAATGTAAGAAAATCAGCCAGCATCCACAGAAGAGCTTTGAATGTCAATTCTTGAAGACTACTGAAAGAAGCTTTCTGAGTTCAGGCTATGGTGAAGAATAAAAGTAGTCAGACCAAATACTGACTTTCAAGCTTTGTTCAAGCTACTGTCTTTCCATGTATGTCTTTCAAAGTCGCTGCACATATTTCCCATTTTCCTAGAAAAATATAAAGAAATGAGGGGTACCACTAAATTCCACAGTATCCTAAAAATTGAATTTTGGTTAAAAAGACATCCACTAAAGCACAACACTATACTGAGGAAGATTAAGCTGTAGCAGTGCTGCTGCAGACTTAAATTGTATTTACAAATTCCTAAATCCATGTCAGTGCTGGATCCAAAATTCAAGCAATGCTGTTACACATACAGTATATCATCACTCAGAAAGACAGATTGCACTAAAGTAGAGTAATCCTTTCTATCAGAAAACATGGTCAGAAAGCAAAGCTCCTGGCAACAGGCCATCTAATTTGAAATGGTCTTACAAGACTGCATTAGTTGATGCTCTAGATAAGGATGTTTTTGGGGTTACGCATGTTTTCTGTTGATCTGTCTGAATAACAACATTGTTGGACAAACTGTCAAATACACGAGGGAGGACTAGGGCAGAAATTACATCGTGACAAAAAGTCTGGAGCCTCCACTGTCATGTACTGTATTAAGGGCAGATAAATGAGCTCCAAAATTCTCAGGAGAAATAACCCTCTCTTAATTCCTTGCATGCCTGACGAATGGCACCAAGACAGCGTAAGTTGTGTATTTTCTCAGTTTTTCAGCATCAGCAACTTTGTCTTTATGTTCTTTCATGCTTCAGTAAAGTACAAGATGAGTGTGTGAATTGGTTTTGCCTGCAAAACGCACACGGCAATAGTACGCAGAGAAAACGTGTGTAGGTGGTTTTTGCAACCAAATGTTTGCAGAAGGATCTAATCTGCAAGTACGAACATATCAGTTGGAGGCAAATGAGCCAAAGAACGCCAATTATTTCATGTATATACCTTATCCTTTTGAAAACATAAAATAAAAGCTCCATATTTATAGTGCTCATCAAGAAACACACAGATGTTTATACTGAACATAACCATCCTTTTTATGCTGTAGACTATACATCTTTCAAACTAGGGTAAAAGGCACCCAGAAAAATGCATCTACAAACACTTTTGCAACACATAAAAGGAGTGACACACATCCATCGTAAAGATTAAAGCTCTGAGTCAGAGTTGTGCTATCATTCCACTCAAGGTACAGAAGCAATGGACAAAATGTAGATCCAGTAACAGACAGCATGCAGAATGGAGTGGGTGATTACACAGACGCTTCAGTGGCCATTTAACTAGTGCTCTACTCACCACATCTGTTTAGTTATATTAGGATACTGCAGTGTTGCAAGTAATGAAAATGCAATCCCTCTAAAGGCAGAAAAAAGTCATCAAAAGGTGATATAAACGCCCTTCGTTCAGACGAGTGGTAAACAAGAGGAAACTGACAAAGCAGACAGCACACAGAGGTCGAAGACTTCTGTTAAACTCCTGGGGTGCAGTTCAACAAAACAGGGAAAGAAAATGCACTCATGAAAAGGAAAAATCAACATGTAACAGATGTTTGAGCTTTTAGGGTCTACATGTAGTCAAGGCTTGAACATTTCAAGCCTGAGAGGACTAAGAAGGTGAAGTGAACACTGGTTGAGATCAGTCACCCCCAGGCAGTCATCAAAAATTAAAAGAACCTTAGTTACATTCCTATGTCTCCATTATATCCTCAACATGACACCAGCTGCAAAGAACACACAGCAGTGGATTAGTGCATTAGAAAACTGGATCTACTTTAATACAGAAGTCTGTCTGCAGACTGGACAACCCAACCACAGGTTCGAACGTCAAGGATAAAACCACCTACACTTCAATGAACATAAGACCTGATTTTCTTCTGTGTTCGCCTTGGATAGCTCAAAGCAGCCATTTCTCACTGGGGCAGTGAGGATGTAACAGCTAGACTTTGCAGCCATGGAGGCAACTCCGTGAGGCGGTACTTACTGTAGACACAGCAAACTTCATGCTAACGGCATGATGTTTGCCTTGTTTTCTGTTGTAGCACTCAAAATTGTAGCATGATAAGTTATTCATTATGAAAAATACAAAAGAAATCTGAGGATGAATACCACTCGTCTGAGAATACTTGTTAATACACCAACTGAACACACTTAGACTTTTTCGGGGATATCACTAAAGTCATTATCCGAAGCCAGACATGAATATCTGGTGTAAATTTCATGGCAATTCACAAATCCTTTTTCCGGACTTAAGCGGAACTGGAAAACAGACCCTGCTTTCCCGGCTTCACAGAGATTGATACAATATACTTTTTTGCAGCTGCTCTTAACTCACTCTGCATATTCACAAAGACTGAAAATTGATTGCGTGTCATCTATTCTCTGTAGCTACTACGAAGATTTTTTTTTTTAAAAATTAAAGATTTTATAAGCAGGTCCATTGAAATGACTTGATGGGCATGTCTAAGCAGTATTACACAAATAGAGGGAACATTATGTATTAGATTATTAGACGGCTTTAAGACCCTCTTCTCCCACAGGGGTCAAGCTGGACTCGTGTGGGGCTGGGGGCTGAGAAAACAGCTTTGTCTCTTTCAGTTTACAGAGAGATGAACAAATGACAGAACGCTGTTTGTTTCTCGTGTACTGAGAGGAGGTGGGGCGTACGATGGAAAAGTGGGAGGGGCGCATGTTTAATTGTGTGTGTGCGTCTTTGTGGGGTAGGGGGCAGCTTCTCTCTTGAATATTCCATATGATGAATGAGCGTCAGTCCTTTTCACGGGAAACAGAAGCCTTGAAGTTAAAGCCAACAACAGTGCATAATCTACGCCTCTTCAACCTGAATACGAGAACAAGCTGTTTAATGTATTTACTCTATTTACTCGTTACTTACTGGTTAGTGAAAGTGCAAGTTGAAAAAAGCAATGCCATTTTTTTCTTCTCACACACACACACACACACACACACACACACACACACACACACACACACACACACACACACATAATAATTAAATATAAACCTATTATCATATTATTTTAATTTAAATTAATTTCCATCATGGAAATGCTTGCATGTGTGATGAAACCTGAGAGGAAAGAAGAGAAAAGAGCAAAAGGACCAACTTTTCAGAGACAGCACACGGTAATTAGTGAGCTAACATCACGTTTTTCTCCACAGAATAACTGGACTAATTGTTCTGGTTCATTATAACGTGGTTATAAACCTGTGGATTGTTTGCATTAGCTTGAGTTAGATTTACATACAAGAACTTAAATCTCTCAATCATGACTGTGAGTTTTTAAGAAAGCTTAAAATATGAATATATATATATTTGTATGACAAATTGAATTAAGAAGATCAAACTGGTAACAAAAGCCACATTGCTAATTGATTCTAAATACTTGAGGATAAAGAAGGAAAAATATTTTCCATAATCTCCCAAATCCAGCTCCCCAATCCACAAGCAACACTGGCTGCATTGTGCCCAACTCAATACTGAAAACAGCAAAATTCTCCACTGCAGATGAAACAAATACCATAGTACAGATAATTGTATTTACTGGAGAAGAAGTCACTGTCTACAGAAACAATAACCATTTTCCATTAGCAAAAACGAGATTTTCTATAATTCTATCCACTGTGAAAGCAGAGTGGGATCAATGGTAAAAATGCATGTAATCTTTAGCTATGTCTACTGTAACCTTGCATAACACATCAAGGTTAACCAAAACCACACATACACAAATACAGACACTACGGGTCCACTGTGTGCTGAATATACAGAGCATTTCACAGATATGTGAAGACTCCATAGTTTCACAAACAACTCCCCGAGCAAAGAGGCTCCGAAAGATAAAAAAACAAAAAACAAACACAGTATCTTGTGTGAAAATTGTGTGGGTGCAGAACCAGCATGACTAACACATGCATAGATGTTGTGCTCATGAACATCAAATGCTTTGACCCTAGCATCACAAAATGGCCACAACCTTCAACACCTATAGCATCCAATAATGTGATATTTTACCTAACTCAGTATACACTAAAGGAAGAAAATGCCAAATGAAAAAAGTCAACTAGGGTCATGTCATTTGTCATGTTTGCATAACCTCATGAACCTCATGTGTTCAAACAACAAAGCTAACCACAAAGAGTAGTTCAGTGGTAACTATAAATACAAGGCCATAAAAAGAAAGCTCTGAATACTCTAAACTATTAGCTCTCTGTTGTTTTAACCTACTTTTGATAAGCACTGCACAAATGCTTTTATGCCGGATTGCGTTCAAATGTGTTTACACAATTTCGGCTTTCACAACACTTTTGTGCAGCATTCGGCTTACTGTAATAGGAGCACTGCTGAAGCGAATCTTCCTCTTCGGAGGGATGTCCTCTTTGTTTTCTTCCGCCAGACCAGGAATCTCTGTCAGATCGGACCCCGGGTCGTAGACGATGTCCTCGTCATCGTCACCGTAGAGGTCATCCTCGGGATCCGTGCAACTTTCCCCCCAACCCTGGTAACAGGCGTCCCCATCTGCGTTAAAAATCACCCGCTCATTCCCAGTGTATTCCTCATCAGGCTCGTCCAGCTGGTCCTTGGAAGATTTTTCTTCCTTTGAAGCATCTCTGTCCTCTTGGCTTTCCCTGGTGGTCGGCAGCAACTCGTGAGTGGTATCCTCTAAAGCTTTGTTTGTAATTACAGCACCATGTGTAGGTTTCGAGGATTTGGAGGTTCCTAGATCCTCAGTTTGTTTTGTTGTGTCCTGCGGTTTCTCCTCTTCTTCACAAGAACCATTAATCTGGTTTCCATTGGTGGAAGCACCAGAAAAACGCTGTCCTTCTCCCACTGTAGCCTCTCCAGCTTTGTCTTGGGTTTCTTCCTTTTGTGGAGCATCTTGTTTGCGCTCTGAAATCTCTACTCCAGGACTCGGGCTCAGGAGGTCCTCCGAAGACGAGGATGTGGGTAACTTGCCCCCTATCCTGTTCCGGTAGGTTCCACGAACTGGAGATTGTCGAAGAGAATCATCCTCACTGACGTCTCCGCCATGGCGCTGGAATCCGTCAGGTGAGTAGAGGGCTCGTCTGCTGACTCCTCTATATGAAACCCCCTGGTTGTGGTGGTCAGCGTTTTCAAAAACAGCACTGAGTTGGCTGACAGTTGGGGAGGATGCCTCTGTCCTGGAGCACAGAGAATCCAAGGAGTCTGTACTGCCTCGGTTGGACCTCGCCCCTCGCCAGTCATCGAGGTGCTCATGGGAACCCCTTTTATCACGGCCGTAGGGAAAGACTGGTGATTGGGACTGGTCGCGTGACTGTTGTTCAAATAGCTTTCTGGTTTCGGAAAACTTTGCCCCGGCACCTCCAATCCTTTCTGCTGATGAGGAATGCTGAAGTTTTATCACTGATCCATCAGCCTTATTGACGAAGTTTGTGGGCTTCACCAGCTTTTGTGGTGAGGATTCATCACGACCCCTAGTCTTAGCAGCTGCATTCTCTGACCCCATTTGCATGAACATGTCCTTAATGCGACTGACGTGTGTGCCATACTGGCGTCCCCTCGGTTGTTTCACCCGCTCGAGGTCTTTGGGCTTTGAGTCTCCATCGAGCCGAGGCTGGTCAAAGGCCTTCTTGAGTGCCTGAAACTCAGCCCGGTAGGCGTTACGGTGGGGGGAGGCACTCCGGAGGCTGGTCCTCTCCCCCGAGGCCTCCGTTTTCAGCATGATGATGCCTTTGGATTCAGAGGAGATGTCAGCATTGCCTTGGCCGCATTAGAGCACCGAAGTGAGGTATCTTGTTCTACTAGTAGTGCCACTCGGTCTGATCCAGCTGTTGTTATAGTTCCGTTAGGCCCATTCATACCTGTAAAGATGAAAGGAGATGTTATAAAGATAGAAAAATGGTTTTGTCGAGTGAAGACAGATAACTGTTTAAACAGGCTCACAATACCATATGGAGTCAAAGTGCCTCCTTTTGTCAGTGGAGCTTCATGATCAGAATGGTGGTTAAAAAGCATGAAAAAAGTCATTTTTACCATCAGCACCACTCTTCAGACACATGAGGGCAAAACGAATTACAGATACTTATGCGTGCAGTAAAAGCTCTCAGTACAAGAGAACTACTGCAGTGATAAAAGCCAATCGGACTCTAAAGGGCCTCCAAAGATGCTGTGTTTAGCATCACGGAAGAGCTGCGCTGCTAACCCTCTTAGATAATAAATCCTTTGATTTGTGCTTCTTTTTGTTTAAAATGGTGCTATGCTCTAGGAAACATGGTTGTTTCCTTCTTCTTTTCTTGCTCTCTTTCCGTTATCTCCCCCACCCTCTGTTTTCCATATGAAGCTGTGACCCTTGTACACTAAGACATCCTTCAACTCTCTAAACCATAACTGACATTATGGTTGTGGCTTCTAAATGTCAGCTCCCAAGCTGAAAAAAAATGTTGCTGGATGCACTCAACCATGTGTGTTGATACCATCCAATAGAAAAAAAAAGAAACATTTAATGAAAGGCCCACATTTGCAATAATACAGGGTTAGAGCAGGGTAGTCGGCTGGTAGGAGTTAAATATACACCTACATCCGTTAATGTTTAATCCTTTTTGGAAATGCACGCCACAGAGAGTGAAATGAAACATGACACAGTAAAGCTGGGATAAAAATACATTATTAAATAAAAAAATAAGGTCCATCTGGGACACAGAATCCATTAACCTAAGTTGTGCTGTAACCCGCAGCCTGGATGCTATAGATGCATCAGCAACAGCAGCGGTGCCTGAAAACTAAACGTCCTGGCTCAATATTTAATATTCACTATGCTGGACTCTTGCAGCTCAGTGTTAACACCTATGTGAAATGCTTGCGTTAAAAATATTAACAACAACAATAATTAATCTGAACTTGGGGATCATCTTGTGCTTTGCACCCTCTGAGGATTTTACGCAGGAAGATAATGAGGACGATAACGTGAGAGGTGAAATATAAATTGAGGCTTGTGAACATTGGGATCGGTGTCAGTGGGATCAGACAAACAGGCGCACATCAGCCACACCGCACAGTACATGACAGCTCAGGTTCCCCCCCTTCTGACACCGTTTCACGCGTATTTATTTACATTCTTCCAACTGCAAATTTCCGCGACATCAACCTCTAACCTTTCTCAATAATTGCAAAATAAACACAAGTTAACCTCAGATAACATCGAGGTTGCTTCACTGTTACAAAAACAAAAGAGTCAGACTTACATTCATGGCTCCGGCTTCGCTGGACGCGCCGCACACATAAACTGTAATCCAGAGGGGAAACTTGCGAGAAATGCGGATGGTCTGCTTGCAAAAGCTATCGAAAATAACATTTCTATTCCGAGCCCGTAAAAAGCCAGCCCGGATCGGAATCGCCACTAGAAACGTTTGGACATAACTAGAGCCGCTATAACGCCATTGCATTGCAGGCAGTGGGTGATGCTGCCAGTCGCACAATGGGGGTGTCGGTGCAATTTGGGAAGCTCATCTCACTGAGAGCTGCACTGTGGCAGCATTTGCAGGACGGCAGAGTCCGATGTCCGTCTGCAGTGTGGCAAACTGAACTCGCTTAGCTGCAGCGATAGCCGGCGATTTGCGAATGTAAAGCCTCATGTGACAGGTGTTAAAACCTGAAGCGCAGCAATGGTTTGGTCCGATAATCTGCTGCGCGGAGGGGGTTTCAGCGAGCTGCAGTCTGGCATAAATACCAACACACAGCAACTGTAACTTCGCTGGTTCATCAGTGGGATTTGGGTGGGGTAGAGAGGGTCAAGGACCACTCGGACTGTGTGATGCGCGTTCAAATAAGGGTTTCCAAAATGTGGTTCGAGGACCAGAAAGTGGCCTTGAGGAGTTTACCTGGTTTAAGTTTAGAGAAACAAACAAACAAACAAAAACAAGTAAAGTTGGATTTCACTCAAAGTTCAGTCTGATGGCAGAATTTGAAGAAACCCTTAAACTGTTTTGTCCATCGCTTGTATTACTATAAATACACATGCAGCTTTTAAGTCTGACTGGAGAAATGTATAAGGGGGCAGTTTAATCAAACAGCTCTGAGCGCCATCTCACACATCCACCATGAGGAACTACATTAAAATTGCAATGATCTCTTTAGTTAGTCATCTCTCTCCTCAATTAATTCCTGAGCATTCATTTTTTTAAGCCCCATTAAAGAAGATCAGAGTAAAAAAAAAAAGAAAAACTATCTGCCTGGGTTGCATTCAGTCAACAGACCCCACCAAAAGCACAGGACTTAATTCATGTGATGAAGCGCTAGAGAAAAGGAAGCTTTGTAAACATCCAAATGTGTGATTATTTTTACAAACAGCACCAAGTTACATAATTGCTGTTGTTATGTTATAATAGACGGCATTGTTTCTTCTAACTTTATGAAAGCACAAGCTGTGTGCGAATTTTGGATGAGGCCTTCTGAGGAAAAACATTTGCTTGTTCAGTCAACATTTAACCAAACCATACTCGGTTAATACAAATGTGAGTCGCAGATTAGAACATGAACTGTTATAAGTTGATTTGGGACACTTCACACTTCAGATGAATTTTCAATAGGCCTACATCAGTTTTGAATTTAGAAAGTGCATTAAAAACAAGTCTTATGCTTTGGCATTACTGCAAGAAACACAGTCTATGCAGTGCATACATTTACTAAACACCCACCACTGCTGACGAGAGGATTTTGCATCCCCCCCCCCCCACCCCACCCCACTGTTCAAAACAAGCCAATTGAGGACAATTACAATTTAAACTGATGTTCACTGCTACCAAAAAGAACCGGATTGGACAGAAATCAGTCTAAGTCCGTATCAAATTAGACACACTGGGGCCTTAGCTTCTCTCCAAGTCACAAATTCTGCGCTTTCCTCCATTTCTAAGCATCATCGTACATCCACAGACCTATAGTGGTTGTTGTGATACATTCATACCCAGTCCAAACACTGGCTATGAGAAGATGTTGCTAAGCAACCTAAAAATAATCTTAAGGGGATAAAAGGGGAGGGTGGAAGAAGAAAACAGCCAGGAACTGCAGAACACAGAGGATGGATGGCATCATGTCTATCGCCACTGAGAAAGCCAAGAATCCAGTCACAAATACGAATTTATCAATCAAGAAGCATCCCAGTGACCACTGCTAGTATGTTAGCCAGAATTAGGAGGCTATTCTGCAATATCAAAGTGCCCTCTCAGTGGGAGCTGACATCAAGGGAAGCGTGGGGGGGGGGGGGGTTGAATTAAGGCTCCTTTAGTAGATGTGATTGGGAGCCAAGGGGGCCAAAACATGACCATCTGTCTGCTTGGACTGTCTCTGCAGGGGGGGAGGCTGGACAGATTGGAGCAGGACTTTCCAAACATGCCTCTGCTGCTTACAGCTGTGCACAGGAGGTCAAGCACTGCTGAGGTGACTTGCATGTTTTTAAGAGGGTGTATCTGTGTTTGCAAGTCCTGATCCAAGAATAAATCAACCCCCCCAAAACACTAAAAACTGTGGCTTTTAGTGGGAGGAATGCTTTATTATGACAAATCCCATCAGTCTGAATACAAGAAGCAGACAGATAAACAGCAAAGCACACACACGCACACAGAGGCAGCCACTCCTTGCAAGCAGCCAGATATAATCTAACCGTTCCGAGAGCATCACACTGAAACATTTGGTAAAGGCGTGGCGCTCCTATATTCCGATTCCCATCATGTTTTACCATGTTTTTCCATCCAGATGTTCAGCCAATGAGCGGTCCTGCTGTGTTTTCCAGTGAAGGCAGGAGGAGGCGGAGGGAGGAATGCTGCAGGATGCTTATTATTATGGCTGTCAAACCCAGTGGCGATTAGACAAAGCGGTCCTGTTTAATGTAAAGATTCGGGGAGATGATTTGCACCATGTCCGCCGCAGCTGTCGCGGTATGGCTTGGTACGGGTACGTATCGACTGAACTCGGGAAATATCCCGACATCTTTGAAAACGGTTCGGCTCTGGTGAAGTATCCGAGCTAGTTAGCTAGCCAGTTAGCTAGCTGCCGTTGAGCATTTTTTTTTCCAAGAGGCTGAGGAGGAGACAAGAGGAAAAAATGGCTACCAATTTGACAGCTAGACCGTTACACGTTATGGGTTTTCACAGTGCACTTAGTGACAAATTGTGTTCTCTACGGTACCTTACATTTCCAGCTGTTAGTAACAACGTTTCTCTTGCTAGCTGTGTTTCTTGTCGGTCGTTATTTCAGCCTTTTCCCCCTCTTAGCGCAGGCCTGGTTTATGTAGAACAGGTGTGTTATGAATGCCTAATTACCTAGCTCCTGATAGTTTAGCAGCTCAGGTTATCCAAAATTTAATGTAGGGAATAGGTTCGTTTATTTCAATACACTGCTCCTAAAAGTCTGCACACTCATAGCTGCCACTTTATTAGGTACTAATAGCCTATACAGTCTCTGCAATGAGTCCCACCTCCATGAAAGATGTAAGGTTCAATCACTGACCTAAGCCTGAGATATTATTGTGGTTACAATCTTAAAAGAAACATATACATTAGATTTCCATATCAGTATAGCCTGGAATCAGCAAATGTTGTTAAAAAGTGCTTTTTGATAACAATTAGTTATCAAAAGAAGTGCTGAGTAATGGATAATGTCATCTCAGTGCCCCAGTTTACTGCTATAACACTGGTCTGCATATATACGTCATTCTTTTTGCTACTGGGAACTTAAGACCAGCTCTTTATTTTGCTTTTTTTTTTTTTTTAACCCTGATGATGACAATTTTAATATCCATCCATCCAGCCTGTCCCAGCTGCCACGGGGCATATGTCAGGGTAATGGCACATGGCATGAGCATGTATTGAGACTGCGGTTTGGGAAAGCACTCAGAGGGGACTGGTGGTGGGTCCCGGGCCGGGCAGATTCCCATGTAGTTATGAAAGGCGAAAGCATTGAAAAAGAGAGGGAGGATTTTTACCGACAACATCACATGGATTTTGTCAGGATGAGAATGTAATGTAATAGAAAATTCTTAACAACCTGGATGAATGCTTCCCATGCTTGCTTCCTTTTGAACCCATCCTCAAGCACCAGTTGATGGATTTCAGGACAGACAAAAACACCTTCCTTAATTTTGGCTTCACTTTTCTTGAAACCAAATCTTTTCAGTCCAGTTGTCTCTAGTTGTCAAATACTTGCGATATTATAACTAAAACAAGGAAATGAGACATTCCACATGAAAACAGTTTTCAGATTTGGAAAATAGCAAGTAGAATTTGTTAAAGTGCAGGCAAAAGAATCCCAGTAGCAAAACACTTGTTGACCAGTTTGTTTTTTCAGGCTTTGATAAAACGTCAAAATTAAGGGGCCCATTCACAGCACTGTTACTATAGTGTTAACTAACATGAAGAGAGTGGGATATTTTACTCCACAGTCAAAACACACTATAGCTTTATACACAGAGACCTAATACTCATAAATAGAGAAGTGCTATTGAGTTTGAAAGCGGAAGGGCTTTCAAACTGAGAGCTAATCCTTCACAAAGGCTAGTGTCCTGTTGTGCAATTTTCAAGATAGTGTCAGGATCTGCACTGAAATCTAGTGGCTTCTTCTCTGACCATATGCCACCTCTCCAACAAGCCACATTAAATTCAGCCTGGCAAATTGCTTGATATAAATGCGGCAGTCTGTAGTGCAGTATTTGTTGTCAAGTCAATATGCTTACATTTTGTTTTGCACTTTGTCTAGATTGGTTTTAACATTTTGTGAAAAACGCCTACGTTAATATTTTAGAAAACATTTCAAACTCCTCTAAAACAATAACTATGACAACAGGCTTTAATTAATGTTGGACGGGTGCAACAGACTGAATCAGATTTTTGTCAGAGTGCTTTAAAAACTGGGTGTTGTTGTTTAAATTGCTGCTAAAAAAAAAGAAACTTGTTCCATTCATGCTTTTATCCATTGATCCAGTAGTTTGCACTGTGCATGCCTATGACACGAAACACAGCGCTTTACACGGGAGAAATGTCCGTGTGGAGCAATCCGTGGCCTTGAAGCAGAGAGCAACCGTGTCCAGAGACGGTGAGTGGGTGTGTGCAGTGGTGCACGTCATGTGTTGACCCGCTGTCCCCCTCCCCTCGGTCATAACACAGTGACACGCTCAGCTGGTTCCCCATTAATACTGGCATTATTGTTTTGAGTTGTCTGCTGGCCCCCAGACTTGGCCCACTTTCTTCTCCTGTAGCTGCACTTTAATGAATTTGAACGTCATCTAAACCTTGTCCTTGCTAGAATTAGAATTCCTCCTAAATCATTAACTATTACAGAAAGCAATATTTATTCTGCTTAACGTGATGTCGATACTTTGCAGCACTGTTTTAAAGCTAATGAGCACTGTAGATACATTTTTTATTTACTTACATTTATTGAGCGCGAGAGGATGGAACCGGTGGTTTCTTGCCCGCCCTTGTCTTTATCCGTTGACTTCTGCTTGTTGTGACACCAGCAGCGACTTTCACTTCCATGTCTGAGAACAGGTCGATTCTCAGACTCTGTTGGCAGAATACTACAACAGTAGCGATCCTTGTTTTCTGGGCTTCCCCGCTAAACACCAAAGGAGCACATGCATTCCTCATGACCCAGACTACATGTGCACATGAAGCTGACTCAGCAGAACTAAAGG